TTTAACAGGTGCGCGTAAGGTCGTAAGATCAATCATTGAGTCAAGTGCTTTTGTTTCTATTTCTCGCTTGTACGTGGCAAGGAGAAGGGTCGTCTGTCCAGCCTCATGGGTTTTCCTCGGGTCCTCCGCCCCCCCCCCCCACTGTCAAAAACCCCTACGCACATGCGAATTATTGAATTTAAATTGAACTGTATAATAGATAATAGTCCCGAGTGGACGTTCTCTCTCTCGTCTCTCTACATGTTGTATATTTTTATAGGTAATTCTACCGAACGTTATAAAGTCTGGGGACTCTTTGTGTTATGAAATATCGATAAAGAACAGTGGATTCGCTGCTCCTGCAAAACTTATGAATATCTACTTGCTTCTTCGTTCACAAAAACAGTAAGACAATAATAATAACCTAATTCTTGGTGCCACAACTAGCCACAACTATATTGTTTTACCCGCTATAATATTCTTAAACATTTTGCCCCATAGTGATTTTCTTTCGGGGAAGCTCTTCCGTAAACTCTTGAATGGGTACCACAGTAGCTAAATGGCCCATCAATCATTGCAAAAGCCATTGAATAGCGTTGGGGATGTGTTTTGTTAAAATTGCAGACAGGGGATTACTTTTTCTCCGAACAATAGAAAAAAAGGGGCGTTCCCTTTAAACCAGTTTTAGTGTCCTACTTGATCCACAAGTGAACTCAATAGAGATAATATCTGAAGACGCCTATTTAGGGGTCGACATTCTTTAACTGGGCGTATTTTTTTATGTATTCATCTACCGCAAACAAAGCAGTACCTGTACTTAATATACTTTAATCTATATATTTCTATATATATACCAAATAGAAATGACGTCCAGATCTATAAACACCTATCCCTACAAGAATTCCAACCTGATTACTTTACAACCAAGTAAGGAATAATTGATGATAATAAATAATGTTTTTGTCTTTGATTTCAGTGGACATTTTTATTCTGGTCAAATGCCCATTAATGTGAGAACATGGATTCCAGGAGAACCGATAGAATGGACAGGATCATTCGCGATGCCAACAGCGATGATCGAAGATAATTATGATGTAAAGTGACTCTTAAATGTACTTTTTACCTTTCGTATAAATTGATATGAAGTCGTTTCTTGGTGGATTAATCTAGTCCCGTCGAATTGTCTTGCTCCTTATTGCTTCTCTTAATCATAACTCATCAATTAGTAGCATAATGCCATACCAATTCGATTTATTTTCTGTTCTACGGGAACACCTGCAGAAGGTTTCTTCTTATTTCTTTGGGAAAAAGATTTATTTAAAAACCAAAGTGATGTGAGGTATAAGCCAATGAAATGACCTGTTGCGACGAGTTCTTAGCGTACGGTGCACGGAACTGTGGGTATCAAATGTCTGACCCATAGGCTCAAAGGCTGCTAGTATGATCCGTGACTCGACCTCCCACTACAACCGGTCCGATCTTCATGTAGTGGAGACCATCGAAAGTGTAAGAAACGAAGCGAAATATAGATCTGTATTTTAATTAGACTGCGTGTCTATGAGTATGTGTGTAGTCTGAATTCAGTCTTTTGTAGACTAACATGTGGTTACCTGTTGCCTGGCGACACGTGTACAATACCTACTATTCATCGAATTCCAACTGACAAGAGCACTCTTAAATGCACGCCTTTTGAAAATGGTTGGAATTCGACTTTTTGTGTCATCCAGATGACAAGGACACCATGGCTTTGTTTTCTATTTTAGGTTTATCTTGCTATAGGAGATAAAATATTGCATGATAAAGCTGATTACTATATTCTATTTGCCAATCACAATGTTCCTGTTTATTCTGCTGGATATAATAATTTACATCACACCATACATGTAAGATATACATATTCCATTTGATGACATTCTTAGGATGTAGGGATATATATATATAGAACGATTATTGCTTTGCTTACTATAATACAGTTACTGTCGTGTTGACTGAACGGACTGTCGGTATGCATATGCTATAGCTTGGGAGCGGATGGAGATACTCGATTGAACTTTCGGGAACTGAATTATCTCATCTCTCGAAAAGCGTCAATCAAGTTGATACGACAGGGCATGCGCAACCGGAATATGATACTACATGTATCTAAACCAATCACTATAGCCGAAACTTTTGATTACGTCACGACTCCGCTCACACCACATCTGTTTTAGGAACTGATAGAACTATGACAGAACTCAGTTCCTTATCACTCGATTGTAGTTTTGTCATTTCGAAACGTTCTCTACTGACAATCGAGTATCTCCTACTGTAAATAATTTTTCACTCTTCGAATGCAGATTGTGACCTGTCCGCTAAATGTAGTGCCTGCAGTGACTGAGAATTTTCCTGAGACGTTCCTTGTCACTCGATTTGCAGTTTTGTAATTTCGAAACGTTCTCTACTGGCAATCGAGTATCTCCTACTGTGACGATCTTTTCACCCTTCGAATGCAGATTGTGACCTATCCGCTAAATATATTGTCTGCAGTCACCGAGAATTTCTCTCTGGAGCCTGTCATAGCGATCTGTGGCATTTTGCTAGTAAAACGATTTCCCCACACCTTTTCCATGTTGCTGTTAGAAAAAGACAATCGTTAAATCCCGTTTTCTCATTAGGCCTACACGTATTTATTTCAGATTGCTGGATCTCATCCTAATGGCGTGTGTCAAGCTAAACTGCCATTATGGACACCACCCACCCCTAGCCGATATCCACGATTATTTAAAGGTAATTATATCTAGATTATATTTAATTTCACAATTCATTCACCGACATGACCAAATTCGTGTAAAGCATTGTGAATGTACTGTTCATGGAAGAAGTTTTAGACTAGGCACTGATCCCTATGTGCTACTTATCTTGTTGTCTTTCTTCTTTTTCGAGGTGGGTGTAGGAATTAGTGGGTTTTTCAGATAACTGCACATGATTAGGATACCTTCAATGCATATACTAAATTATATCCACTAAATTATATTTAGTGTGCGTCATCTTATACGACTAGTGTAAGTTGTGTTGTCTCTACAGATCAGCTTTTGTGAACATACATTTAAAGGGACATAATTCCATTATCGGGAAAAACTCAAGGATCTGAATTAAGTTTAACATCTCGTCAACACCATACTCTCGTCGTTTTGAGCCTTGTAGATTATTACTTTCTATATGGCACTGTAAAGGAGGAGGAGGTATAGGAGGAGAGGGTAATTTGCTGCGATTCCGATTACTCTTCATTGGCTCATTTTCTCTTCCCATCCGAACGACTAGATAACACTTTATTTGTCAGCCCTTCATGGGCTACCCCTGACAAGTGAAATTCGGGCTTGAAAAATCCCGCGATTCTTCTCGGGCTACGCGGTAATTAAGCTACCACACCCCTCTATAGACAAACAAGGCATTTCACTACGTTATCAATACTTTGTTTATTACAGGTTCTATGACACAGATTATTGGATAAATTGAAGCGGTTAAAGACTTATAATAGTAAAGATATCAAATAAAAATATATTTAAAGCATAAGTTTTAATGAAGCTACAATCTGAAGTGCATAAGAAATGAAATGAAATGGGGGGCTAATGAAGACGGGCATACGCCATACAGTGTGCTATGAGGGAAATTTTGCCTAGGCAGCGGCACTATCGCCTACTCTTATATCGAATTCCAACTGCCAAGGGATCTTTTACGTGCATTCCAATGTTTACACGGGACCTCGGTTTTTCGTCTCATCCGAAGGACTAGACAGCTGTCCTTGTCAGGCCCTCCGTCCTGCATCACTGACAAGGGGAAACCACGTCGGAAAATCGGGATGAACTTTCTCGGCCAATGCAGGGATCGAACACCCGACCTCCAGGCTAGAGAGCCAGCGCCTTACCCACCTAGCCACCGTGGCTCCTATGTAGTGCATAACGAAGTGCATAAGACAAGCTATCTACATAAATACTGTATTTCCACATCCATCGGGCTATTCAGTTAGTTTAATTGTTCTTTGGACAACTACAGAACAAATCTAAACACCACTGCCGACATTACACAATAAAAAAAACAAGATGTCACAATGCAAGACCTTGGGCTTGTACATAGAACAGCCTGACAATGTCATTGTGAGATTAAAACACTTGCGTTTTCGCATCCAATTCTGAATGATAAAACCTACCAGATGAATTGTGAAATTCTAAATTGGGAATATAAAACGAAAAATATAACATTAGTGATCATTAAATCTAATTTTCAAAAATTGAGGTGTATTTTAAGAACTATAAAGTTTATTACATTTGAATGTTATTATATAAAAGCAGGGTAAGAAAAGGTGATAAATTGATTCTAAATATTTAATTTCAACAACAATTTACATAACTTCTATTAAACAGTGACTACATCACTCCAACTCTTTCATCACTGATGTCTTCAGTCTTTCCCAGAAAAACATTTCGTCCACGTCGTTATTCCAAGTAATATAAGTTGTTGTTTTCAACAGAGCGTGTAATGATTTACTCATATTTACTGCCGCTATCTCTTCTAGTAATACCACAATTATTGACTCAATAGTCATACCCAGAACAAGTTTCTGAGCTAATGTCATTTCAAATTGACACCATTCACTTTGTGTAAAATCATTTGACAAAACAATTATAACTTTACGGCTGTTTTCCATGTGTTGTACTATATTATCAATGATCATTTTTCCAGGTTCAAAATCTCTTTCGTGGATGCAAAGTTTAATATTTTCTCCTTCTTCCAAGTTCGGTAAAAGGCTTCCCAAAACCCATTCACTATCTTCGACACAATACGAAACAAAGACATCGTAATCAAAATGTTTTTCCGAGATTTTAATCAACTGCCGGGGTCTGTACCGCCATATGTAAATATGATATTTAATATACCATCTATATTTATATGCAAAGGATATTAACAGAATGACCGAAACAAAAACACTGATTACGCCTGTTACAGAGATGAAGGCGCCAGTGTTTTTTAAACAGATTCTCTCAGTAATATCAATACATCTATAACCTTCAGGGAAACCCTGGAACTTCTGCTTATCGTATGTCATCCACTGCACAAACCAAACTAAGTCACAATTGCAAAGAAATGGATTGTCACTAATATCAATAGATTGAAGAGTGTTTCGAAACATTTCGGGAAACATTCCAGGCGTGACTGTTTCGATAGAGTTGTCGTTTAAAGTGAAATTGGTTAAATGTTTATTGTTGATGAAGAAATTGTGTGACCACGTCTTTATTTTGTTGGCACCCATTTCCAGATATATCAGTTTATGAAGTTTTTCTCCAATAACATCTGGCATGGAATGCAGATCACTTTTATACAAAAGTAATTGTGTTAGAGATGTTAATGGAGAGATTGCCTAATTAATTTCTCTAAATTATCAGAAAAGAAATTCTCCGATATGTCAAGTTTTTTTAGATGGGTGCAACCCAGAAAGGCATTTTTGTGAATACGTGTCGATAACAATAAATTTTTATGCAAATAGATGGCAAAAAGATTACTATTATTGAAAGCTCGATCCTCAATAACTAATGGTGACTTAGGGTTTCTTTGACTGGAAACATATAACAAATTCAAAGATTGGAAAGCGTGGAAATCACCAGTTTTGATTGCATCCAAACCATTCAAAGACAGATCAAGGCGCATCAAGCGACGTATGCAATTCAGATTATCTGGTATGAAAGTGTTAATACTGTTGTTTTGGAGTTGCAGGGTATTTAATTTGGGAAAATAACGCATCTCTCGGCATAAATCGGGTAAATCCCTTAAGTTGTTGTTACTGAGTGATAGATATTCCAGATTCAAACCAACATCTAAAATAACCTTCGCTATCCGATTCTCTCGTACATCTAATAGCTGTAATTGTGTAATAGGTTTAAAAATAGAGTAGTTGAAAATCTGTATTTGGTTTCGAGAAAAATCGAGCTTTTTAACAGGAAAAGTTCTATAACCGGTGAAAAGATCGTTTGGGATATTTGTTAATCCAATGTAACGAAGAATTATCTTTTTAACTTTTGTCGTGCTAACAATATGGATAAAATCAAAAAGTGACCTTGTCGTGAATATATTCCCTGATAAGTCTAATCCCTCTAGTGGCGAGAGATTTGTAAAAGAGTCATTATCTATCTTCTTAATGCCATTAAATATAATATATAAATTCAACAAGTAAAGACCAGTTAAGTTGGTAAACGTGGTCGCGTTTATGTGGGGTAAGTGGTTATTTCTGAACAAAACTGTTTGAATTCTTTGTGGAAATGTTGGTATATATGTCAGGTTTAGGTCGTCGCACTTTGCCACATATCTGTCACACTGGCACAATCTTGATGAACAGGCATCCCAGTCTGCATTTACTGACGTAATACAGCCAAGTAGGATGATGAGCAAGGTCTTCATCATGTCAAACCATTACCACGATTGAAGTGTTTTCTTGAATAAAAGAAAATACACGGGAAATGTTTTGATTTCGTTTTAAAGGAGTTAAATCTATAACTCAGTATTTTCCATAATATTAGAAATTAACCACACGAATTTGAATTCAATATTTGTCCATTTCAATCAATATTGATGTTGTTATCTTTTGAAAATATGGTTTCAGGTATCAATTTGAAACCAACAAATAAAAACACATCCTACAAGACAATGCGGAAGTAATTAGTAATGGCTGATTCGCACACGACAAAATAAAAATAAAAACAGTGTAGAATGGACTAAGCAGGCGAAAACGACTGCCGTTCAATTTGAACTGTTCACGTATTTCACCGAACAAAATGAATTAGAAATTACAATAATTTTTCAAAAACTGAATATGAATCACTTTACAAACATTCATATTACATTAAACATGCATTATGCAAGAGCTAAATCTGCCTATTGCAGGTCTTTCGTGGGGCCTGAAATGTTATCTAAATTATTAATTGGACATTACTTGACTTATTCAGACTATTAACAACACTCGATGCCATCGTTAGCCTGCGATATTTACTGGATTTGAATACATTTTGTGATGGATAATTTAACTTAAAAAATGGATAATCAAGATTTTGTTATCATACCAACGTCAGTAATGACAACCAAGACTAGCCTAAAAATCAATGGCTAATAGCTCGGTTCAGAGTGAAGTAATTTGACTGAGATTTTCATCATATTTTGTTTTCATTATCTATATTTTAACCATTATACCGAGAACTATCATTGATTTATCTAATCTTACCTATAGTTTCGTTACATCAAAAATTGAACTTCCGGTGACGGCACAGGTTATGAATGTCTTGTCTTGTTGGCAATTTATTTGTTTAAATAATCTAAGTAACAAACAAATAAAACATAAACAGATAAGTAACGTATACTAATTTCCACAATTCTGGATTCCTTGAGTCGACAATCTGTCATAAAAATACAGTTAATGTAGTTATTTGACTCAGGAGAACACAAGAGAAGTATAACAAGCAAATTAATCAAAGATGGCGGAATCGAAAATGACGCGGAAAACAAACAGAAAAAGAGAGGTTGGCCTACTGGTAAAACATAATCGAACTCTAACGCCAGCAAAATCTATGTGTAACAAAGAAAAATAGGAAATCTGGAAGTGTAAATTGTGCACGAAAATCGCCGTTGATCAAGCTGATAAACTATTAGAAGGCCAAAGATGTAGGGATCGTTTCTGTATAAAGTGCCTGAACAAGTCAGTAGAGGAGTACAGCCTGATGAATAGTAGTGGCATTATGTGGTTCTGCATACCATGTATAGGTGGAGAGAAACATTGTTGTTGACAAAGATATTGAAGAAAGGTGCAATGACAGGATGAAGATGTTTGACAACAGAATAAAATACCTAGAGGAGGAGACAAAGAAAAAGTGCGATGAAGACAAAGTGAGGGTTATAGTGAGTGAGGTGACAAAAGTTATAGATGGTGAGCACAAAGATAATGACCAAATCACAGGTAACGATGCGAGTGAACACAATGTCAAAGCAGTCATGACAGAGATCAATGAGAGAATAAACAAGGAATGTAACATGATCATTTATGGCATTTTGGGAATCGACTCCGAAAACAGAGAAGTGAGACAATAAAATGATGTAGATAACGTAAAAGGAGTGGCTGAGGCATGCGGTGTGACGTAAGCTGACGAGAACGTGAAAAAAAAATCGTACGAATCGGTAAATACAACACAAAACCCAAATTTAAAAAAAATTGAGTTAGACATTTTTTGCGCCTGTCATAAAGGCATTCTTCTTCATTTATCAGATTTGTAAAAATTAATAGTTACTTGCGAAAACACCGGTCAATATTGTAAATTCTTAAAAAATTTAGTCACTTCCGGTGCTGACAGAAAATTTTTATCCGTAACAAAAATGTTGAGAATGTGCACCATGAAACATATGAACATCTGACAATAAATAATTAACTGAAATTAAAATGCGAAAAATCTTTAAAAGTTAACCCGACAAAGGGCAAGGGACGGTGCTAGAAACATTTTGTTGATATCTATATGATCGTATTGATCCAACCTATATATCCATTGGAATCAAGTATCATAATTTCAAACAAATAATAAATATAACTCATTTGTTTTTGGAGGCTAAAAATAACATTTTTGCCAAAATGACATTACTTCCGGTGGTAATGAAAATGTTAAATTAGTTCTATGAAATCATAAATGGCTTAAGGCATAACATAGTGACAATTTTATGAAAATCGAATAATAACTGACACTTTTATAGACCAAAAACCTTGAAAAGTGAGTTACATGAAATGAAATGAAATGAAATGGAGTTTAACGTCCTACTGTTCTGCTCCTAACCTGGGCTAATGAAGACGGGCATACGCCATACAGTGTGCTATGAGGGAAATTTTGCCCGGACAGCGGCACTACGGCCTACTCTTATATCGAATTCCAACTGCCAAGGGATCTTTTACGTGCACGCCAATGTGTACACGGGACCTCGGTTTTTCGTCCCATCCGAACGACTAGACAGCTTTCCTTGTCAGCCCCTCCGTCCTGCATCACTGACAAGGGAGAACCACGCCGGAAAATCTGGATGAACTTTCTCGGCCAATGCAGGGATCGAACACCCGACCTCCAGGCTAGCGAGCTAGCGTCTTACCCACTTAGCCACGTGATCCCCGAAAAGTGACTTATAGAAAATCGCCTATTTCCCTACAACTGTACAAGTTGGAACCATTTTGTGGTACCTGTATGATCATATGGGTTCATTCCATTTTTTGATAGGGATCAAATATCATAATTTTAAAAACATTACAAATAAGACTCATTTGAATAAAATATCTGATTTTAAGACTAAAAATACAGTTTTTGCTCAAATGACGTCATTTCCGGTGACAGTGAAAATACTAAATTCATTTGATCTTGTCAAAATTGGCATTAGGCATCAAATTGTGAAATAAATTTGAAAATCGAATAATAACTAACACTTTTACAGGAAAAATAACGTGAAAAGTGACAAATACAAAATTGCAAATAGCGGTGCTACGGCCTACTCTTATATCGAATTCCAACTGCCAAGGGATCTTTTACGTGTACGCAAATGTGTACAAGGGACCTTGGTTTTCCGTCCTATCCGACTATTCTTTGTCCTGTGTCAGCCCTCTGTCCTGCACCAGGGGGGAACCACGCCGGAAAACCCGATGAACTTTCTTGGTCAAATAAGGGATCGAACACGGGACCTCCAGATTCGCAAGCCAACGTGTGAGCCACCGTGGCTCCATTATAAACAGTGTTTCTACATGTGTTTCTTTAAATATTATGCCCGATCTTTACCTGAAATGAAGATGGACTTTGAGAGCTACCATATCATTTTCTGAGTAATATTCTTAACTTTAAACTAAACACTGATACTTACAAATCCTATGATACACATAACTGAATATATATTTGCCTCTAAATACGTAATTGTTTAACTTGACACATCCCTCACTTCCTGTAATACACAGCGGTCACATTGTTAAGACAGCTCGCGCTGCAGCTATTCAAAGGTTCAATGATCTTCCGTTAATGACGACATATACTTAGACTTTAGACATGTAGACGTTTATTCATATGATGCCGTGTATTTAGACTTCAGAGACATTTCGGACGTTTATTGATATAGTCAATCATATCATTCATATTGTATCATATACCATATATCATTCATATGTCATAATTATGCCATTCATATATATTCATATATCGTTCATATATATCGGATCGTTCATTCTGGAGAGTGGATCTATCTCGCCCTTGCAATGACTAAAGCTAGTCAATTAATTTAATACAACATTTTGACAAATAAAGACGGACTGAAAAGATTGTTGACAACAATGGCGACATAACAGCTAGAAGCACGGATAAAATCTCCTGGACGCTGATTGATTGATAATGAGAGGCTCGAAATACAAATCGGGACTCGTCGGCACTTGACTAAAAATAAGACTCAAAATGAATGTAAACGAAATAAGACTCAAAATGAATGTAAACGAAATAAGATTTCCGATCTATTCAGAACACTCATTGACTTCTATCAATGGTTTATCGTGGCTGATAGTGGCCATGTGAAATCTTCCAAGAATTTTTTTTTTAATTTCTTTAAGCAATTGACTCGACTATTTAATATGCGTAGCTGAAATAGCTCAAGTGGGACTTCCAATCTGGATTACCGAGCTGGTGTAACAGTTCCGTTCCCTCCTAGTCGTGAAGGTTGGTGATCCTGTTCGCAGCGCCATCTAAAGGCTTAGGGTTTGTGGTCCTGTTCGCAGCGCCATCTAATTGCTTAATTCTTCCCGCCCTTTCTCCGTTCCGTGACGTTATCATGGCGTTGCGTTCCCGCGCATAACGCCTAAGTAACTTGAAAGACGAATTGTAAGTAGTCAAAAGCCCGACCGCCTGTTCGTGGCCTTAGAAATCTTGGTCAGGACGCTGCAGCAATCATTGGTGGAGGACGTGTTTTGTTTCTCCTTGGTGGAAATTTTCGGAATCTCGGTAAGAAACGATAGCTTTGCTTCGACTTTTACCCTAGCCTAAATGTAACATTGATTAGACCTTCTGAGGTAATGATTAAGATTATAAGTCTGACTAGCTCGTTATGACCCTGGGAAAACCTTCCATTTGTGCTTCTCCCAGTATTGTGTATAGCAAATGACAGAAAGTTTAGCAATTTTTAATCCTTTACTTAAATTTTAGCATGATTTAATCTGTTTTGTTAGAACTCCGCGATTTAGAGCCTTAGTGAGGTTCGCCGTGGTCACCGGTCTCAGTGCATAAATTATCTTTGCCTTTGCTTTTAGCCTGTCAATATTTAATGTTTTAGCCTGCTTGTTCGTTTCTAGCATCTAACAGGGGGTACTCTTTAGAACGCACCTATAGTAGCACTGAATTTGGGCCTATGATGGTTGATAGTGGTTCCCTTAGTAATCATTCAAAGTACCCATAGTTTATACCCCGAGAGCACCCATTGTCAGCACCCGAGGTGCACCTAGTTAGCACCGATAGTGCACCTACGATAGAGTTAGATTATTCCAGTTTATACCCCGAGAGCACCCATTGTCAGCACCCGAGGTGCACCTAGTTAGCACCGATAGTGCACCTACGATAGAGTTAGATTATTCCAGTTTATACCCCGAGAGCACCCATTGTCAGCACCCGAGGTGCACCTAGTTAGCACCGATAGTGCACCTACGATAGAGTTAGATTATTCCAGTTTATACCCCGAGAGCACCCATTGTCAGCACCCGAGGTGCACCTAGTTAGCACCGATAGTGCGCCTACGATAGAGTTAGATTGTTCCAGTTTATACCCCGAGAGCACCCATAGTTTATACCCGAGGTGCACCTAGTTGGCACCTGACTTGCACCTACGCCTGATAGTGCTACACCTGATATCCGCCTAGTCGACACCTATGATAATAATCACATCATTATGTTTGAACCCGGTTTATTACTTATTTAATTGGTTAAATTCTTCAGTATTTTAATTCTTGTTGAAATAAAGAGCTCAAACAACAACTATCTGTCTTTATTCGCCCCTCTACAACGGACCCAAAATTTGTAGCGACCCTCTGGAGATCGTGGCGAGGAATCATACTACCAGAAAAGCTACACTGGATATCAACGAATCAAACGATTTGAGGAAAGCTGAGAAGTATGAAGAAGTGATGAGGCTATATTTTAGTCATCCTGCTGTAAAAGTATTCATATTCTGGGGATTCTGGGATGAACTCCACTGGCGGACTGCTGCAGCTCTGGCTAATGGTCACGATGTGACGGCCAGGATTCCATTAAATATTTTTATCAAGATAGTTTTGTTACCACTAATTTCCATGATTTATAATTAACAATGAAAAGCGAATAAACAATTCTACCACACAACTATCTTTCATGGGAATTGTCCTCACTGTTGGAAAGTAATTAATACAGTTTTCACGCATAGCATGGAAGGCAAAAATATAGACAACAGAGATTCCGTTATGCTAGGTTCCCATTCCTGAGCCTCGAAGGTAGCCCTCTTCCCGTATACTTAAGGTCTCTTCCTCGAATCTTTGGGCTAGCCGTTTCCGTGAAACTTGAAGGTATAGTCTCTTATCTATACCTTGACAGTTTTGGTAAGTAATTCTTTTCCGTACCTTGTACTCAATGGTAGTCCGTTGTCTATACTTTGACGTTTCTTGTAAGTAGTCAATTTCCAATACCTGGAGGGTATTCCCTTTCCTGTACCAAAACATTGATGGTAGTTCTTTTCCCGCATATTTAAGGTAGCCCCTTTTCTGTACCTTGAAGGTATTCCCATTCCAGTACCTTGAAGGCAAAGTCCCTTTCTTATACCTTTATGATAATGCCTTTCTTCTACCTTTATGATAGTTCCTTTCCTCTACCATGGTGGTTGCCCCTTTCCTCTACCATGACGGATGTCCCTTTCCTGTAACGTGAAACGTAAATGTAGTCCCTTACCTGTAATTTAAAGGTAATTCCTTTCCTGTATCTTGAAGGGAGCGCCTCTCCTGTAATCTAAAGATACCCTTGGTCGTATATTTACGGTAGTCCCTTTCCTTTACCTTGATGGTAGTGTCCCTTTGCCATATCTTGAAGAAAGCGTCTTTCTCGTATCTTGAAGGTATATTTATATATAGTCACTTTCTTGTAGTTTGAAGTTAGTCCCTTTCTTATATCTTGAGGGTAGTTCCTGTCCTGTAATTTGAAGCCTTTACCGCCTCTCATATCTTGAAGGTAGTCCCTTTTCCGTATCTTGAAGGTAGCCCGTATCTTGAGGGAAGTTCCTTTGCCATATTTTGAAGGTAGTCCCCTTCCCGTATCTTGAAGAAAGCCCCTTTCCTGTAATTTAAGGGAAATTCCTTTCCCTCAGCCCCTTTCCCGTATCTTCAAATCAACCCCTTTCCCACATCTTAAAGGTAATCCCTTAGTTTTCTTTCCTGTAATTTGAAATATTAAACTCATTTCGCTTATCTTGAAGGTAATCACTGTCCCGTATCTTTAAGGTATAGTTCCTTTCCTGTAGGTTAAAGGTAGTTCTTTTCCTGTAATTTAAAGGTAGTTCCTTCCCTGTAATTTGAAGTTAATCCCTTTCCTATAAGGTTTAAGATCTGGTATTGTAACTCGTTTCCTAATGAAGGGCATGTCTTAATTAACACTAGGTTTGGATAAAAAGCTCCCAACCCAGTACCATTCCTGCTTCAGGACATGGGGAGATCTGGTATGTAGCTCGCCCCTATATACCCATCCAATCTGAACAAAGCCTATCCCGTATGTTTGATACAAATCCAATTTAAATGGGAAAGCAGGGGTTGGAATTTACACCGTGCCACTCCTCCTTCGTCCATTCCCAGTGTTAAAAATTGGATCCCATCTGAACGCGTTGCTGCCTATCAGCCATTTATCAAAACTCTCTTGTACATTAGATATATTGTCCTCTAACAGCGAGCTTTTAAATGTTTGTATTTGATTTATATACCGTATAAACAGGAAAGCAAATACGATTTACCTCCTATTTTCTTAATTTCAGGAAATAGTACAAAGGTTGGTCATATCATAATCGGACAATTCTCCAGCAAATTTATTGTTTTAAGAATTTAGTTTTTAGAAATTCTAATGTTATAATGCATCAATAAACAGTGGTTGTATTACACACAAATCTTCGTATAGTCTGTCGTTCAAATCAGTTATGTTACAAGTTGAAGAAAATGAGGATGGCGGAATCTCACACTTTACTTGCCAACTAAGACAGGTTAAACAAAAACCAAATCAAGCCGATATTCTATTTTGGATATATCGGGTGGCCCAGAAAAAGGTGTACACTATTTAAAGTTGAATAATTTAATCAGTATTGTACCAATATCATTCAAATTTCATTGATCTTTGACTACACCCTAATTTGCAGACCGTACCGGTCCTATAGTGTTAACATAGTACGCGTTTTAATAACGAATGTTAAATTATGCGAAAGTGTGATGCGACTTCTGTCGTTTTTAAAACGCGTACTGGGTGTTAGCCGTTTGAATTATTCCATTTTAAAAAGTGTGTCCTGTTTTGTCTGGGTCATTCGATAATGTAGGTGAATATGACAATCTTACAATTAGGGTAGATTGGTTTGTTGACATGACCAGTCTGTGGTGACACATCTGAACCATTTGAGTTTCAAAGTACATTAACAACAGACACTGAAATCAAATTTCAGTCCCCGATATATTTTGGTCCAGCTTGGCACTCTTCTTACGTTTTGATTCCGTTAACGTTAGCCCGGCCGACAGAATTGCATCAGACTCGATGTCTTTCACATTATGTGTACATTTTTGGTGATTCCAACTGTGGAATCTTACAATGGTTATTAACTATTACTGCTGATGCTGCTGAAAACATCTGATAAACACTACTTTGTCATGGGAACGCCAATTCATTCACTTTGATATATTCCCCTGGCGAAATTGACTAATAACTGGATATATATT